TGGTACAAGCTGGTTGGGGGGGCTTTGGGTGGGTTTGGAGGGGCTGCATGTGAAATGCAAGCTGTTACCCCAGCATGTCCCACCCACAGCATCTGGAAATGTTACCTTTAAAAAAGAAAGCAAATATCTGTAGAACTGAGGTCCATAGAGCTCTATTACATTCAGCTGGGACCTTCCACTTACAGCAAGCACTGGGTGACCACATGTCTTCATAGCAGGAAGCCCCTCTGCAGGTTCCCTCTAGCACACTGTAATAAGGACTTCATACTTCAGGCTTGTCTCAGACTGACACAAAGTTGCAATGCAGTTCTGCTTGCTGTCCTTAGTGCATTTGTACTGATAATTCTATACATAAGCATATAATTCTATTAAAAAAATAATTATATATATATAGCTTTATTTACCATTCATTTGCTGGAGAGGATGTTACAGTGTTAAATAATTATATACATAAAAAGCCCTTTTTTCCCTACAAGTCTCTAGGTGCTGATGTTGACCGTAATTTTCTGCTCATTATTCTGCGCTGAGGAATATGTTGTTGCTATTGATATAAATGACTGTAGTAAAGTACAATTTCTAAGTAATACAAGCAGACTTCCTATCAACCAATATTGCCAGCTGTTAAAAGATATAGAGGGAGCTTTTCTTTAACTATCTCACTGTGCCCATCTAACTGAGGATATAAACAATTAGATGTCATTTATATATAGTATACTATTTTTGTAATGCATAATTCAATAGAGGACATTTCCATATTGGTACATGCATTATTACTATTTAATATTTTATGCTTACACTAGCTCACCTGTATGCTAGCAATCTGTTTACTCCCACAGATGTGACATTTTGTGTCACCCCACACATCGCAAGCTGTATAAGGTTCCATAGCTGTACTTGTTGACCTGTATACACAGACTACTTTGCATACACAAATGGCATGTAAACTTCACCAAGTTAAAATCTGAATATAAAGTATGTCCATGTGATGTTTTATGCCTTTACACTTTAAGTGGTATTTAGTTATGAGTATGATCTATATTCAACTGTGCACGTAAATCTACTTTGAAAATCACTAATATGTTTGGCAAAATACTAAGTAAACTCAACTCAGCTTCTTCCAGTCTATCTAAACATTTAATTACATAAATTATTTATATTTTCTGTCTGGACACTGTGCGTCGCTGAAAAATATGATGATACTTATTATTTTTATTCTAATTTTTAAAATGGCAAAATATTCTGTAGCATTGAACAATGGGATAATAGTTGTAGCTTCGCTAAAAAAAAATAGACTAATTTGATGCAAATGATTAAACGTTTGCCTTTCTAAAACAGATGCAATTTTGAATTTATTTAGCCTGCCACATTGGTGTCGAAATGATATACGTTCTTTTATTTATTTATTTTAAATACAGTGTTAAATTCACTCAGTTCTAAATTTTAAAATGTATATGTGCGCATTCTTTTCATCGGTGGTTGTTGGTCCGTGGTTAAGACTTGTCCACTTCGTGGTACAAAGTGGTTTTAGGTTTGTGTTGGACTATATTTGCAAATAAGAAAACTGTTAAAGTAGCAAATTATTCTTTATCATTTGTTTTGTTCACTTAACAAGGAATTGTGGAGAATGGACAAGGGACTTAGAAGCTTTAGGACCAAATAGTCAAATTGGAAGATGTCTCCAATCCAATATGCATTTTCCTTGTCAGCTCACCACAAGTCCCTTTTTAATGAATATTCTCAGTTTTATTAAATATTATATTCAATATAAGCAATTGGTATATGTTTTCAATTTGTACATTTTTATTTTTGTCATAAAAAGCAGGTGAGGGATACAGAAAGGAAAAAAGGAGGGGGTTAAAAAATAGTGTAACATCGCATATATTAAACACACATCTTCTTTATACTTCGTATTATACAATTTAAATGATCACATTTATTTTCGCTTGTGGACTGAAACCTAATGGTGTAGTCAACTCCCTAGATGCTTAGGTATGAGTGGGGAGGGGTTGTGTCCCCGGTTCACTCGGAAAGTATGGGTTGCTGGGGTCTATGCCCTAGAGGCTGTCCGTTGCGTCAAGCATAGGGTTTTCCCCCGCGCCTACGCACCTGCCGCCTCGCAGAAGGTAATTTCAGGTGTACCCGGCTATCCGGGATATCCGACCAATCCTAATGAGCGGGCTGGGAGCGTCTTCAGGTTGTTACCCGTGTCCCAATGGTTATCACTTTTTTTTTTTTTTTTGGAGAGCACAGGTGGTGGTTGGTCTAGTTCGGTATCTATCTATGTGTGTTGTTCTGTGGAAGGGTCGTTCTATACTAGAATGCCCTTACTTAAGTGCAGGGAGGTGGAGGTAGGTAGCGGGGGGGAGAGCAGCGTTGAAAGATGGGGGTTAATGGGGGAGGGGGTGTACATCCAGCATGCCGGCTTCAGTGGGGGTTTGGAACACTTGGTACTGGTATGATTCCATGGGTCTTTGACCTAGTGTTTCTCTGTGTCTTTAGACATGTCCCGTATTGGTGAGCTAACTAGGTGTGGTGTATGTTTCTCTCGTTGGCTTAACTGAGATTCAAGTCGGGTGTTTCAGCACCCAATTTTCCCATACTTCATGTCTCCAACTGTTGTGAGGCGGTACCCGGAATATGGTGGATTTGTATTTCCCAATTTGTGAGATATGTCGGATCAGCTCTTGGCAATTGGTATATGTTTTAATTAGAAAATATATATATTTTTTTGGTGGAGATGAAATTGTCATTGGAATGTGTCTTTCTGGATACTCCACATTTCTAACTGAGAACGTTTGCACATCTCACTATTATCTCGTATTAATAGACAGAGAACTATATCTCACTTTACATTGTATCAATGCAAACTGAGAGACTTATAGAGAATTGTACATTGCATTGTCACATATGTAGGGACAAAAATAATTTATCTTGCAATAGATCATATCGATTTTACAATGTTCAGATTTGTATCATTATAAAATATACAGAGAATTTTACCTTACGATATGTTAAAATTTATAGAAAACTGTATATTGCATTATGTCATGTATCTTGCACTGTATTGTATCTAAGTATAGAAAATTGCATCTCATGTTATATTATATCTTAGCATACACTGAATCAGTTCTTTTCCAATTGAATAGAGCAGTGGTTCCAAACCCAGTCCTCAAGTACCCCCTAGCACTAAAGGATTTAGAGATTACCCTGTTGTGTCTAAGGTATGTTTAGAAAAAGGAAAAAAAAAACACTTTAGACACAACAGGGTAATGCCTAAATTCTGTACTGGTAGGGGGTACTTGAGGACTGGGTTGGGAACCCCTGGTATAGAGAATCAGTTCTTCCATTAAATCACATGTAAGTTTATAGAGAATTGTATTTCGTGTAATATCACCGAGAAATAGTTTTGAATTGTGAAGAAAAGACCGTCATAGGTTATGTCCAAGAAACTTTAATCTGAGACAAAATCTTCAAATGTGGACATATCTTATGTGTGTCCAGAAGTTCTTATTTTCATTTACAATATGGCTGGGGTTTGTAGCCTCCCCAGTCTGTCAGGCACCACAGGACCGGTCCTGTTCATGTTTAGGTGTGTGCCGTCCTGATTTTTTATTTTGTAAATTCTATCAGTTTTGATTCATATCATATCTAAATATATAGAGGATCCGTTTTTGCTTCATCGCGCTTATAATTGTATAGAGATTCATATTCTTTTTTATATCACATCTAAACTTCTAGGTAATTGATCCTTGCATTATATGGTGTCAAAGTGTAGAGAGCAGCACTGAATATTTGAAGTCCTGCAATACTAGCTAGGTGTAAAAGTTACTTGCCACTCCAAGGCCAAGGGGTGATTTTGAGCCCTGTCTAGAGAATTAGTTCTGGCATTATATCATGTCCTAGTTAGTTTATAGCAAGTTGTATCTTAGTTTTAATAGCTGATGTGTTACAGTTTAAGACTGTGGAGGTTTTCAGAAATTATGTGTTAATGGTCAAAATTACATTAACTGCTTTAATGGCCCCAGAATGCTTTTCTTCATCCTTTCTTATATAAATAATGCATCTTGTAACACAATAATTAGTTACCGTAATTAACTGTACACTTAAAAAAATAAAAATTGAGAAATAGATTTGCAGAGATTCCATTATGAAAAAGTCAAGAATTGATCATTGTGCCTAAATTAGTATTTACTCCTAATTAACTCTTAAATTTATAAATGGTCAAATCGTAAGGAAATATTGAATAATAGGTGTCTCACTAACTTCTATATAGGATCTCTTATACCACAGATAGGCCTAGCAGAGAATGCAAGAAAATGGGTACATAGAGACATATTACCAGAATTTAGAATGGCTGGGATTATCATATAGCCTTTCACATGAGGCAAAATATGGCAAATTCCCTAAGAGAGGAGCATGTCAGAAACATACCACTGGTCATGATGCCAGAAAAGGCTCAAAAACAGTATCCAAAGTCATAAATGACAATACACCGTCATATGAGCCGGTCAGCATCAAAAATACACCAAAATCAAAGTCATGTTCTAAAGGGTTAAAATAAATCACAGTAGGCCATTATGGAAAGGTCTGAGGGGGTTTAAATATACTCGCATTCAGTTACATGCAGTTACGTGCTGAATTTCTCTATTGTACATGTGGGATTCAGTGCCTTCATTAGCCGTCCGAAAAATTTGAATATTAAAGGAGACGCCGAGGGAGCAAGCAGAATGTAGACCACTGCTTGAGATAAGTACCGACTGGAATCTAACAGTTTATACTAATGTTCTGGCCCAAGAATGGACAACATGCAGTGCTTCAAATGATCATGGACTTTAACACTAAATATAATAAAAGTTGCTACATAC